AATCTAAAAAACTGAAGGGGTTTGATGGAAGCTCAAATTTCTGGACAAATCCAGCAAGAATCGGCTCAGAGATTTTATCACCTACTTAGCGAGAATGCAATAAACAGATTGGCACTCTTCAGCCGTGTGAAAACAAGAAAGTGACCGGGAAAATGGCTGCAAAAATGTGTGCGTCATTCAGATCAAAGACCGGGGGTGGTAGACAAATGCTATCAATTCGCTGCACAACGCGCTATGGTTTTTTTTTTATATAAGCCGGGTTAGGTCTCCATTGATTCCACTTCATGGCATTAGGTCCTGGTTCATATTAGTTAAATCACATGGGGGCAAAGGTCACATTAGCTGAAGCACTGTAGGTTATATGTCATATTGTGTAAATAAAAGATATATCCGTTCTTTTACCCGTGTTACAGTTTCGAGATACAAAAAATCTTTTTCTACCATAGCAACTACTACCTAATTTTTTCTACCATAGCAACTACTACCTAATTTTTCTACCATAGCAACTACCACCTATTTTTTTTCTACCATAGCAACAACTACCCAATGTTTTCTACCACAGCAACTAATATCCACATTTTTCTACCATAGCAACTACTATCCAACTTTTTCTACCAGAGCAACTACTACCCTTTTTTCTACTGTAGCAACTACTACCAGTAGCGTAGCGAGGGGGGGGGGGGGCGGGGGGGACATATGTCCCCGGGCGCCGAGCTTAGGGGGGCGCCAAAATGGGTTGGAAAAAATAAATTGAAAGGTTGAGGGGGAGGGGGGGTGCAAATCGAAAGTTTGAGGGGGGGGGGGTGCAAATCGAAATCTCGAGGGGGGGGGGGTGCAAATCGAAAAGTTTTTCTGCTGCAGCAACTACTACCCAATTTTTTTCTACTAGAATAAATACCCATCTTTTTCTTCCACAGCAACTACTACCCATCTTTTCTACTGTAGCAACTACTACCCAATTTTTTTCTACTGTAGCAACTACTACCCAACTTTTTCTACCATAGCAACTACTACCCTTTTTTCTACTGTAGCAACTATTACCAAACTTTTTTTTTTACGTGTAACAACTGCTACCCATTTTTTTCCTACTAGAACAACTACCCATCTTTTCTTCCACAGCAACTACTACCCAACGCTGCATGTTTGTTGAGCCAATGTCCAGCATTATCCCGGTACTAGAGATGGCAGTGGCGGATTAAGATAAAGGCTGACAGGGCTTTAGCTAGGGGCTACAATCTTTAGGCCCACATTTTTTTATTCTATGAGACAGATGGGCTGTTTTACTTTCCAAACAATTTTATATAGGTTGCATCGGTCAATGACATCTTTCTCCTCCCCCCCCCCCCCCCACATACAGATTTTCAAGAAGGGGCCCCGTCCGTTCTTAAATCACCAGTCAATAGGCCCTTGCGCACATACTCTAGGTAAAAATTATCCAAAGCATGATTGTAATAGAATTCACAAATTTAACTTATAGCTTAGCAGTTTAAAAATATATGAAATAACAACTATGTATTCCCTAATGTGGTCATCTTTTGACCCAACCACTTTCGGAACCACTCGTGGAACCCTCGCTACTATTTGTCTAACCGCAAAGGCAGGATTTGATCAAAGCTGTGCTCTCGCATAATGCTGAGGCCCCTCGTACCAAAAGTGAACAGCCTCCTCGTGTCTGAAGTCGCCGCCACGAGTGTATCCTCTTGACGGCCATAACGCTGAGGAAGAGAGGCTGCTAAATTTATGTGACGTGTTCATTTAATTAATGAAGTGACTAAATATCTGTGACTGGCTCATTTAATTAATGAAGTCAAGTAGCGATCAAGCTCTTGCATAAAGATTCCCGTGTAACTTGAATGGTGTAGCTCTTATGGTAGCTGACTCACGAAGTAGTGTTTGTGATAAATGAAAACTCACTATATCATAGTATGTTTGCATCATGGGCGGAGTTAGCCCAAAGTGGGTGGGGGATATTAACGATGAGACAAAAGTTATAAAATTTTATTCTGTTATGCTATTTTATATCACGTAAGGATTAGTTGTGGCTTATACATTTTTATTTTTTGAATCTTAACTATGGTAAATGGTGGTATAGATATGGTATATTATAGTTATATAACACTGGATTGAAACGACAAAGCGTACAGAAACTCCGAAGATGCTTCTTAAACTGTAATTCTTTTGTTATACTGTGATAATAAAAGGGATATCATCTAGTTATACTTTGATAATAAATGGGCAATCATTTAGTTATACTGTGATAATAAATAGGCAATCATTTAGTTATTTTGTGATAATAAACGGACAATTATTGAGTTATATTGTGATGAGTGGGCAATCATTTTGTTATGTTGTGATAATAAATGGGCAATTGCTACGTGTATGACATGTAATCTGTAAGGCTTACATTGGCAGCAGATTATCTGTGAATTATCCAACCCCAAGTTGAATTGTTCCTTTATTAGATTACTGTCGCATCACGTTTTTTAATATTTCAGCACAAGTTTTATTGGGTGTGTGAATAAAATAAATATAAGCCTGTGTTTCACTGAATCGATCATTTCAATTTTTTCTTGTAGATTATTGTATCAGGGGACTAGCATGTTGCTATACATGGGAGGATAGAAACGTTGATAATTGGGCGCAGCTTTCAATTAGTTAATTAAACTTCTTTTTAGGCTAATTGCTTGTAATTAAGATAAATACGAACAGCTCTAATTTGATATATTTCTAATATTGGGACACTTGTGTTACGTAGGGGTTGGATAGGGCCCGTAAGCCAGTGGTCAAATACTCCATAAATTGACGTATTTAAGGTGCTGATGACACCATAATTTTATGTAAACATGGTTTTGATGACTCCTTTATTTCGTGTAAAGGAATGATGACTCCATAATTTCATACAAGTACGGTGCTGATGACTCCATAATATTATGTAACAACGGTTCTAAAGAATAAGTAATTTCATGTAAGGTACTGGTGACTCCATAATTTCATGTGAATACCCTACTGATGACTCCATAATTTCATGTGGTTACAGTACTGATGACTCCATAATTTTATGTAAGTACGATGCTGGCGACTGTGTAATTTCGTGTATAGTTTTGGCCAGCCCTATTTAATATTCCCTCTTACGACGAGTTGTTCCCATGTAAACTCACTTGACGAGCCTCCAGGGATTCGATCCCTGAATTGCCAATCGGTGGGTTTTTTCACGTTAAAAAGTTGTAAATTTATCCCTCGATCGGTCAAAGAGCAGTCATTAATATTCATTATGATAATGCTGTCGCGAGAAATAAAAAACGTTATCAAATTGTATTACGCATTATTTATGTTTTTACAGTATCGGCGTTTACAGAATAAACTCCTCGCCACACAATCGTGAATAGAAAAGTCTGTTCTCGATATCGTCATTTACTCGTACATGTCTCTACAAATCAGCATTTAGCCCCCCCCCCCCCACCCCCACCTCCCTTCCCCAATTTGTCTAAAGCAACACGACGTCAACCAAACCAACCCCTTATTTGATCACTAACTATATATTTGGTATATAGAATCTACGCCCACAAGTTTTCCAAGCAGCCATTTCTTTTTAAATTTATGATAATGGCAGATGTAGCATGGAATTGTATGTCTATTATATGACTAGTAATATGTGAATGTGGGTTTATAAATGTAGGCCCTATGTCTACAAAACAAATTTCTTGAAAATAATTGGTTCAGTATTACAACAAACAAGACTGTCCGGCGTGATTGACCTCTAGATGAGGTCAGAGGTCGCGCGGCCACACCACACAGCAACACATAGCCAGTCGTCTGCTCCTGCTGTGTACAAAACGTTTGTGGTTTCCCTGGACCGTAGGCTAGCATACCGCTACACAAGTTCAGTCGCTCATTTCCAACACGCTACAAGTTACACAGTTACACATTGACTGATACTAAGTTATTTTTAAAAAAAAAAATATTACTTCCACGTAGGCCTACACATTTTAGATAATATAATCACCGCCGTCAACGTTATGGTTTCATGTCTAACTATAACTATTAATGTAAAAAAAAATGTTTTATTTATAACGCCGTTAGAAATCTTTAACTGTGTAGTACATCGTCGTCTGGTCATGTTCACTGTTCTTGGACAAAAGGCGGGAAAAAGTTTCTGCAGGATGGTGAAAAGACGAGACCCGACCGAGTGCCGACGTCTAGACAGCCAGACGCAACTGTTGATGCGCCGACACCAGAAATAACTCGTGCAGACGTGCTGTCCAGTTTGTTGCGTCTTGCCCTCCGTAACCAGCCAGTCACCTTCACCCCCCCCCCCTCCCCGCGTCAATTTATGACGACCGTGTAAACACATGGCCTACACTACCAACGAGGTAAACAAATAAAACACGTGACGGACGGTAAATGAAAAAAAAAAAGATTTTCAGTTTTCACACACTGTAACTTCACGAGAAATTTGCACGAGAGTTTTTTTTACACGAGCCAATGGTTTTCTGACGCGACCTTGCTTGTGGGCTGTAGCGATCCTTCGACAGTAATCGCCTGCTGAAAAAACTGCGTTTTCATTTGTTAAAAAATAAATTTTAAATAAATTATAAAAACTAATAATATTTAAATCTAGATCTCTGGCTTGTTTTGGAAAATTATTTTTTTTGTTCATTTTAAGTAATCATAAACAAATATTTACTAACATCACAAACTTAATCTAGTTAACTTAAATGGTGCTTATATTTTTTACTAATCTGTTATACAAAATATAAAGAAGATTTGGCCTTTAAGATAGCTTTAAAAAAAATCTCAATAAAAAAAAAATCAGAGTATCGTCCCGAGTATCGCGACAACCCGAGTACTGACTTGATACGGATTTTAAACAATCGAATAGATCACGCAGACTGTGAAATTTTTAACACGCACTTGTTCAGGGAGATCAACTCAGTAGTTTACATAATTGTTTTTAATCTTTATTTTTTTTAATTGGCGTGTTAATTAGCGGTGGTGCTTTGATCTAATTAGATCGAATTATCTAAGACATGCTGAACGGAATTGTAAAATCCCACCAGTTACGGCCAATAACGGCCGCGCCCGTGTCGACATCATCAGACGATAATGACCATCAGCAGGCAGACGACTGTGCGGCCATCATGGGTAAGCCGACATTAATTAAAAGCTTTAGCTAATAATTTAATTGTACAATCGACGCTTGAATTATTTACACACTGTATATGAGGCGTGTAGTGTTTGCCTAGTATAGTGTTGTGGTGACCTTTCGTTATTCTGTAACTTATTCTAGTCTAGATCTATAATTTACAATCACCATTGTCGTTCGGTATTTTATTCTGCTGACTTTCAGTTAATTATCGGAACTTTTTTTTAGCTAATTATAAGTTTATAACTAATGAGCTATTAGAAATTGACCTTCAAGGAATAATTAGTCTAGTAAATTCGAAGGTCAGTAAGACATTCAATGATTCATTCTATACAAGTACTGAAGACGACTCAGGATATTAAATATTATTACAAACTTGTGGCATATGGACATATTAGTTAGCAACTAATTACACGGATCTAGATCTAGATGTAGATCTATAGCTTATTTTAAAACTTGAATATCTGTATAGGGCTACACTGTGAGAATATAGTGGTTTAATTTTTAAAAATCTACACAAAGTGGATCAGTTGAGATGGCGCGGGATGGGTTAGCTGTCGTTGGTCAAGTCAAGGCCTAGTCTGTGGGAGAAATATTTCCAATCAATGCACCAAAGTATTGACAGTAGATCTACTTGTTAAAACAATGAATTTTGTTTAAGGCATTTTAATAATAACATTGTCAGATACTACCCCACCACTTCGTCTTTCTAAAAACGAGGGTGGGGGTGAAGGTTTTTTGTAGTAAAAGATGGCTAGATCTAGACTAGTATTATCTGATATCAATATATAAACCTAATCGTAAACATTACAGTAACACTATTAAACCCTTGCTTAATTACACAGAAGTGCCCATTGTTGAATTTTTTCTAGTAATAGGTTTAGATTAGAACTATGATTTACATTGAAAGTCTAGTGGTATGTTAGTGAATCAATAGGCTATACAACTACTTTGGCCCCTAACTACTTTGGCCCCTGTGGTGCAACTACTTTGGCCCCTGTGGTACAACTACTTTGGCCCCTGTGGTACAACTACTTTGGCCCCTGTGGTACAACTACTTTGGCCCCTGTGGTACAACTACTTTGGCCACTGTGGTACAACTACTTTGGCCACTGTGGTACAACTACTTTGGCCACTGTAGTGCAACTACTTTGGCCACTGTAGTACAACTACTTTGGCCACTGTAGTACAACTACTTTGGCCACTGTAGTACAACTACTTTGGCCACTGTAGTACATCAACTTTGGCCACTGTAGTACAACTACTTTGGCCACTGTAGTACAACTACTTTGGCCACTGTAGTACAACTACTTTGGCCACTGTAGTACAACTACTTTGGCCACTGTAGTACAACTACTTTGGCCACTGTAGTACAACTACTTTGGCCACTGTAGTACAACTACTTTGGCCACTGTAGTACAACTACTTTGGCCACTGTAGTACAACTACTTTGGCCACTGTAGTACAACTACTTTGGCCACTGTAGTACAACTACTTTGGCCACTGTAGTACAACTACTTTGGCCACTGTAGTACAACTACTTTGGCCACTGTAGTACAACTACTTTGGCCACTGTAGTACAACTACTTTGGCCACTGTAGTACAACTACTTTGGCCACTGTAGTACAACTACTTTGGCCACTGTAGTACAACTACTTTGGCCACTGTAGTACAACTACTTTGGCCACTGTAGTTCAACTACTTTGGCCACTGTAGTTCAACTACTTTGGCCACTGTAGTACAACTACTTTGGCCACTGTAGTACAACTACTTTGGCCACTGTAGTACAACTACTTTGGCCATTTAAAAATGTTATCTGGACCTTATTATAATTACTTTCCTTCTCCTAAAATAACAAACTAGGCTTGGCCTGCCATCATATTTCAAGTATTGAATGTCTGAAAAAGTTCAAGTTAAAATAAACACCAGCCGCCATCTTACTTTTGTCATTGTTCGTGGCACGCGCACACAAAAATAATGTCAGACATCTGTATTCAAAGATTCTGGGGAAGGGCTGTAGTAGGGGGGGGGGGGGGGGGTAGAGAGCCGGTTTAGTTTTGAATGAGTGAGAAAAGTTGTATTCATCAAAAGGCGATTTATAGCCCTCGCAAGCCCCTCGACAGCCCAATAAGCTGAACGTCTGCTAGCCATGAAAAGCGCGCTAGTCGAAATTATCACAGGTAATTAAACAGACGTTTAATTCCATCGTGCATATAGTGCTAGCAACAGCTGATGATTGGGTTTCTTTATGTCATTAAATATGAGAATCTAGGTATTAGTTTGCCCCTATCCTAGAAGGCGTCGCAAAAAAAAATTAATCTGTATGTGAAAAGAAAAATGTCGGATTCAGCTGTTCCATGTCACCAAGATGTGATGATGTATGTTACGTTTATTCTAATCAGCAGTTGCGCCGGGTGGCTGAGTCGTTATTGGCCTACCTAGTGTTGAACTATATTGAGCATGACTTGACCATATCAACAACTGACCACCAGTTGAACAACTGTCCAGTTGGATTTCCATATTTTAACCTATTATGAGAGATTAGTATCGTATTTTAAAAAAAAAAAAATTCATACACAATTTGTTTAATGTGTAGTTTAAAAATAGAAATCAGACTTCATATAAATCATGTCTACACAAGTTTACGTACAAAGTAAATAAATTCAAAACCACCCTATTGTTTTTAGTATAAGTTCAGTAGGCTTATATTTATAGACGCGTGTCGTTAAACGAATGGCCCCACCGGCTCTCCTTGTTATTGCTAGTTAATTTCAATTCTCCCGCTGGTCTGTTTGAAGGACAAATACAGCACTAAATCCCCAACACGCTTCGCTTACCACGTGGTTTAGGCGGCACGCGAACGCTTTCACGGATTTTTCTTTGTCGAAAACCATCTGCCGAGACTAGTGTTAGTAGTGGCGAGGGTTCTTTGTGATTTTGTGGGACGTATCACTGGGGCGAATTTTTAAAATGATAATTTAAATATAACCGGTAAAAAAAAAAAAAAACGAGGAAGTCGGGTCTTTTGTTAAATGGGGCGAGGGAGGGGAGGGTAACGTATCCATTCTCTACATTGAGGAGACGGGACACCGGCACGTGACCGCGCTTGTTGTGTTTATTTTCATCTGGGCGCACTGGAGTGAGTCAAAGGTTAACTCCGCCTCTCAACCAATCATCTCGCGGCGCTGCCGCGGTGCGTGGTGTAGCCTAGTCTTTGTGCTAGATTAGTAAAAATAAAATAAAAAAATCCCTTGCGGAAGAGGGGGGTTCTAAGCGAAGGATACCACATATTCATAAAGAACTCACGAGCGCTGGAAGTTTCATTTTAATTTCTGAGTGGCATAGGATAGACACATGAGTTTTCTGTTAGTGTTTAGATGAACTCTTATTTCTGGTAGAAGCGCTACGTTTTTTAAAAAAAAATGCCTGAACCAGTTTCAGATCTGAACCGTAATCAGGAGGTTGGATACTACGGCAGTGGAGGTAATTTCTACGTGAACGAGGACCCGCTGGACATCAACGTGCGTAACCTGGAGAACCTGTCCCTGATGGACAACTTCAGCTCGGCCCTGGGTGGGATAGAGACCAGTGACACCCTCGAGTATTTCCACGACTTTGACGCGGTCCTCAACCCGTACATCGACGACCCCAAGGAGGGGAACATATCGAGGACGGTGCGAGTGCCTTCCTCCGAGCATGTTGCTGAGATTGTTGGTCGTCAAGGTAACCACATTTATTTTATCTGCTGTTAAGTGTTGTTTATTAGGCGTGTAAAATGTAACGTCGTTAGGCCGGCGAGGCGTAATTAATTAACCCAGCACACCACAATTTCATAGGAAACCGCTTGATTGCTAACATTTAAGTAAGAGAAAAAATACATTCTCAATTAAATTAAATGCATCAATAGATCTAGTTTGATTATATTAATATACTAGCCGTCCCGGCCAGGCCCTGCTCTGGCTTCTGTGAAAAACCTTTCCGTTAAAGACCATTACCTGTGTGTTTAGTAATCATCATAAACCCGGCATTGCCCACCCAAACCACAACCAACCAAAACAACAAAACGCAAACATAACGCTAACACAATTAGAAATACAAACGAAAACAAAAACCTAACAACAAACCCAACCACAACCACAAACACCAACACAAACACAAAGAAAAAACAAACGAAAACAAAAACCTAACAACAAACCCAACCACAAACACCAATACCAAAAAAAAAACAACGAAAAAGCAAACGAAAACAAACCAAATCCAAACGCAAAACCAACCAAAAACACAAATACAAACCCAAACAAAAAAAAACACAAACAAAAACGAAAAAAGAAAGAACAAAAACGAACCAAATCAAAACGCAACCACTAACGCAAACCCACCTAAACACAAAGAAAACACTAACGCGAACATAAACGCCCGGGGCAGAATCGCCTGTTTTAGCTTAATAAACGACTATAGTACCCCAACTTATTCATAGTTTTTGCACTCACTTAAACGAACGCGCCTGTTTCAATTTAATGAACAATTATAATACTCCAAGCTTATCCGTAAAATACCTAAAACATTTGCACTTGATCAATCCCCGCTAATTATGTAATTATTTTTTTCCCAACACCAAAACAAAGTAATTAAAAAGTAAATGCTTTTCAACTAATGCAATGTTTTCATAAAGGGAAGTAATTGTGTTTTGCCTAATTTATCAAAGGGAAGTAAGCGCTATAGGACTAAATAAAAACATAATTAGAATTTTTGTAAAAGATGATATTTTTTTAAAACTTGTGTTTAATGAACATGCCGACAATTATTACTATAATTTGAAAAATGAAAATGATTTCCCAACACTTTTAATAGTAATTTTTTAACTCATAAATTTAGACAAACGCGCACGATAATTGATCTCACACTTAAATCCGTAGAAATGCCAACGACAAACATATGCGTTACAGAATTGAGCTTTATATATTAGATGTAGGGGATCTAGATCTAGTATTGAGTAGTGTAGTTAGCCCTACCTAAACTTAAATAGATCTAGATCTAAATCTATATATTGAGCATTGTGTATGTACATGTAGATACTAAGATAGTTGTGATGCAGGCCTTATTCCACTGTAGTCTTGTAGATATCTAGTTGGCTATTTTCGTCCATAGGCTAGTTGGCTAATTTAGATCAATAAAGCAATAGCTGATACAAAATGTAAATGCACATGCAACTTGTATTTCACCTGCTACCCTCAGGCCCAAGCGAGCGGGTTAATGAAGGTGACTAGACTCTAATTGTAAATTATAATTCTGTAATTAAGACGCCGATCATATGCATCAGGATATCGATAGGGTGTACAGCTGTGTAGATTATGCTGAAGCTTCGTTTATGTCATGTGTGTAGGCCTATTCAGTAACTAAGTTTTCTAGCACCCCTAGGGACAACCCCACCACCCTTAGACTCCTCCACCTTACTCATCAACGAGCCGTAAACACGTCTATGTTCTTGTCTTTGTTCATCTACATCCATGCCTGAACAAGTGGTTATTTTTCTCCATGTATTTACCATTGTTGCTCCCCCCCCCCCCCCTAATTCCTTCTTCGACCTGACATGTCTAACCAACGGTTACATAACGTTTAGGATCACTGAACATGTCTAACTCCTGCTCTAGTCAAGCGAGACCGACTTTACAATCCACCGGATTAAGAGAACGATTTTACACTACATTTCATCGAAGGATTTCGAACATGCTACCCTTCCGTGTAGCGGCTGTGTGGGCTGCAAAATGTTCCACTAAACACATTCGTACATTTCACACTAAACCCGTGTCTTTCGTTTACCGAGTTATTTCCCCCCCCCCCCCCCCAAACAGACTTTTTTCTTGTTTTTAACAGAAAAGATCAATGAATTCCCTCCCCTTCCTCTTCAGTCCGACTAGGCTTCCTGTCAGCCGGTATTTCAATTGACCATTGTCCGTTTCACGGGAGGAAGAATCTGGAAAAGGGTTCATTGATGGATGTCAAGGGAAGTTGGGGGGGGGGGGGGGAGGGGGGGGGGTGACCGGGAGGCACCAGACAGGACAATGGCCAACGACAGGTGTTGTGTCTGCCTAGTACCGGGCTGTTCACTCTTTGTACTGTCGGCAACCTCCCCCCACCTGCCGTGATTTTTGCCGCACAATTTCTCTTTATTTGTTAAACCTCCCACATCCTTCATGTAATAAACTTACAGACATTTTAACGTTAGTGTTTAGGCATCCCATTGTGTTGAGAAAGGTAAATATTTTTACTATATATAACCTTACCTGTGTAGGTAGGTAGGACTATCGTGTATCAACAAACATAACATAGACCACATGACTCATTGTGTTGGCATCGCTCGTCGGTTGCTTAAGCTTTTAAATGAGTTTTTTTTCCCCTCGTAAACGTTTTAGCTAAAAATAAGGAATTTTCATTCTTTCGTCTCTGACGTACGGCTAACAAAAAAAAAACCGTACTACCAGTGTCGTGTTGATTTGTAGCTTCACGTCTGCACACTGGCCGTTGACTAACTGCGGCATGAAGAGGCTGTGTACGCAACAACTGTAACATTATATGCCTACTTTATTCGCCTCTTGTGTCAGTACTCGTGTGTGTTGGTTGTAGTGGTTATTTTTTTTTGTACCAGTCTATTAAAGGTTAACGGAAATTCCCTATCCAGTCGTTCGTTCGCTGAACTCAAAATGTTATACTTATACAACTGCATCGTTTTTTGTGTGTTGGTTTGATAGGTCTTAAACATTAGCGTTGGTGGTGTGGGGGGAATGTAATTCACTTAAATGCGGGGAGGTTGGTGTTTGGTTTTTTAGCGTGCAGCGTAAACTAACACCACTACAATGGCGCACTTTGCTTAAGGTGATGGATGCTCCCACCCACGGGGGGGGGGGGGGGAACTTCACACTATCAGCTGCCCGGCTTCAGGCCCCTACAGTAAACCATATTAGCCGGTCACCCCCGGGGGGAATCAAGGTTCAAGGCCCCCGGATAATTTCTTTGTCGGTCAGCCTGTCAGATTAATTTCTTTATTTACTTCTGCCAAAGTGGATGTGAATCAAAAGTAATGTATTATAGATCAGGGTCGGGTTGAGTGGTAATCGAACCCCAGTCATGTCTGTCAGAATACCGTATTGTGTATTCCATCTTTGTTTGCTGTGCTCTTTGTTCTCGCTATTTATGTATAAGCCATTTCCTCATTATCCATCGTCGACACACAATTCCTACTTGGCTATTTATAGCTGACCTACATCTTCTAAGATTCTTAACTATTTATTTACAACAACGGCGATAGGAATAAACGGGGCGAAGAAACATTAACAAATGTACAGATATGCTCTAAAAATAGCCCGTCTGGAGTAAAACCAATATAAAAACACTCGAGCCGTCTTAAACAGCGTCGAATAGCCTCGTATGATTTACAGCGTGAGTCAGATGTGTACCCAAAGTTTCGTATCGATCCGCCGTGACGTCACCCATTCAGCAATTTACACCAGTCTCTCAAGCATTTATTTTATTCCTGTCAATAAGCATGTCGTTAAATATTCGATAAACACGACTTTAGCATCGGACTTAATTACGTCGTTGGCTCCTCGTCAAAAGAGACGTTATGTCCTCGTGTGCAGCACTTTAAACACCTCGTGAGCACTCGTCACTAATCATCGAACCTTCGTATCTTTTTACTTTCAAAATATAAAAAAAAAAATCCATCCCAAATCTCCTATCTCCTCCCAATAGGCACCTCGGGACATTTTTTACCCTCTCCCTCGTCCTCGTGTCCCGTCTAATCGATGAAAGTAGTGCACACTCGCGCTCCGTGGGCGAGCTACACTCTCCTATTCAAAGTACCGGGGATTTGTTCAGACTTTAGCTAATGGTCAGCCGCTGGTCAGCCATGCCACTGATATCATTGTGTTGATTGTCAGACGGACCGACCAACATCGAGTCATCAGTGTCCGATAGAATCTGACCTCGGCTGCCACCGGGAGATCTAGAACCGGTGGAAAAAATGGCTTGCTTGTTTGGTAACACTAGAGCCAAGGGGGGAAACAGACACTGGGAAGAGCTGGAATGCGGACGATTCTCTGTATACATAATAATGTTAACAGGCCGTGTTTAGGATGCAGACAGACAGCGCGGGTTAGGTTTACCTGCAAATATTTCCCCAGTTTTTTACTCGTATCGGGTGTCTATCTGGCTAAAATAGAAACAAGTGCTGAGATGTTGATTTGTTTCGTTTGTGGAGCTGGTGGGATGATAATTTTTATGGATAGCCCGTGAAACCAATATTTTTAGCGAATCAGTTCTATCAGGTTTTTTTTTTCCTCTATTTTATCACATAATTCCCGTCCCACTTTTTAGAGAATAGTCAGACATTTTGTTTAAGTTAATGACTTGTAACAATTTTCATTTGGTCATTTTTGCCCCCCCCCCCCCCCTCTCTTCTCGACTCTAATCATGGTTTATATCCATCTTCACTTACCACTGATCACCACTCCTCTCCTCTCCACTGATCACCACTCCTCTCCACTGATCACCACTCCTCTCCACTGATCACCACTCCTCTCTGATCACCACTCCTCTCTGATCACCACTCCTCTCCACTGATCACCACCCCTCTCCACCGATCACCACTCCTCTCCACTGATCATCACTCCTCTCCACTGATCTACACCCCTCTCCACTGATCACCACTCCTCTCCACTGATCAC